TGGTGCACGCCAGTAGTCCTAACTGAGTAGTTAGCCTCCTAAGTAGGAGGCTGAGACAGGAGGATTGCTTGAGCCCAGGAGTTCAAGGCTGCAGTGAATTATCATGGCACCATTTTGCTCCAGCTGGGTAACAGAGTGAGGTCCTGTCTCAAAATAAATACAATATAATATCATATAAACTCTGATCATGTCACTCCTTCCCCAAAATCTTCAGCCACATTGAGTACAAACTCTCAGTCAGGATTTGAGCTCAACCTCCTTTTCGAACATTCTCCATTCCTCTGCCTCCTTCCTGGGTCTCAGGCCAGGGGTTTTCAAACCCTTCCACAGAGCTTGTGTTCACTAGGGGAACGGGGGGGGGGGGGGCGGCTGAGCACCTGTGGGAGGACATGACATGATGCTCCAGCACCACTCCCATCATAGCAGCTCTGATTTGATTTCACACATTTCAGGTAGGATTTCATTTAAAAAGGGGTTCTGTTGCTCAAAAACAAACATTCGAAATGAGCTGTCTTAGTCCAACAGGATGGCACATCTCAATCAAGGACTCTCAAATCTGCATGTTTCACCTTTGTTTATTTACTTCAACTGATGTTTATTGATCACTTGCTATGTGCCAGGCACTGGGAACAAGACGGACTGTCCCTCCCTAGAAGGCTTACAGTTCAGAGGAGTGATGGTGACTATTTGAAGAAATTAAGGAACAGTATCTTTCCCTTTCTTTCCCCACACACATCTTTTGTGGTTAATCTCAGATTCCACGGACTTTACAAATTTCTTGATCTGCCTCTCCTACTGACCAGAAGAACTCCCTTTTCCATATAAAATTTTGTGTGTAGAGGATGTTGGTTGTTTTTCCTTTTCATTTTCCATTCTCTCACCTTCTGGTGGTAGTACTTGGCACATTCTTTGGGAGAACAGCCCTTCCTTGGTTTCTCCCTCACAGTTAACTGGGTTCTGGTTAGTCTCCAGGAGTGGGCAAGTGACCCCAGACCTGGCCAGCTGGCACCTAGAACCCCCTTAGCCACAGCAATTGGTTCAGGTCCGGCCACCCTCAGACTCCCATGATTGGTTTGGGTTAGATGAATGATCCCAAATGTCTCACAGTGAATCCCAGACATATGTAGGAGCCTTGGAAAACAGATGCTCTCTTTTCAGCTGAATTTAAGCCTGAAGAGATGTAGACCCAGAATTTTGGGCAGCAATTTCATTACACTGTGGAGCGTGAAGCCAACATGGAGGAAAGTAGAACCAAGTGATGGGAAGAGACTGGATCTTCCTGACACTCAGTGAGTGGTTCAAGCCACATCTAAAGCCTGCCCCCTGGCTCATTTGTATGTATTGGCTCAGTTCCATGAGCCAGTGCATTTCCCCTTTTGCTTTAGTAAGTTTCAGTGAGCTTTTCCAAAAGAATGCTGAATGATTTACCATAGCAGGACACTTCTAATCTGGACTCTCTAAGAGCTCAAGACTGTATGCCTCTGGGTCCAGCCTGCCTGCTATGTAGGAGACTAACCCTTTCTCAAGTTCTTCTCTGTAAATTCTGAAGCCTACAGGAGATCCCTTCACGTGTGATCAGCAAGCTAATCTTTTGCCATTTCTTTCTCTCCCACTGGGCTTTACCGGGGGCAAGAAGGGAACTCTGTTTCTGTGGAAGCAGGGAGTGGTAAGTCCAACCATCCAGCAAAGCAGCTGATATATTACATATTTGTAATGCTTTTTTTTTTTTTTTTTTAAGAGACGGCGTCTCCCTATGTTGCTCAGGTTGAAGTGCAGTGGCTATTCACAGGCATGATCCCACTACTGATCAGCACTGGAGTTTGTTTGTTTTTTTTTCTGTTTTTTGTTTTTTTGTTTTTTTTTTTTTTTTTTTTTGAGACGGAGTTTCGCTCTTGTTACCCAGGCTGGAGTGCAATGGCGCGATCTTGGCTCACCGCAACCTCCGCCTCCTGGGTTCAGGCAATTCTCCTGCCTCAGCCTCCTGAGTAGCTGGGATTACAGGCACAGGCCACCATGCCCAGCTAATTTTTTTGTATTTTTTTTTTTCGTAGACACGGGGTTTCACCATGTTGACCAGGATGGTCTTGATCTCTTGACCTCGTGATCCACCTGCCTCGGCCTCCCAAAGTGCTGGGATTACAGGCTTGAGCCACCGCGCCCGGCCAGCACTGGAGTTTTAACCTGCTCTGTTTCTGACCTGGGCCGGATCACCCCTCCTTAGGCAACCTGGTGGTCCCCCGCTCCCAGGAGGTAACCATATTGATGCTGAACTTAGTGTGGATACTTGATCGACATAGCACATTACAGCCCAGAACTCCTGGGCTCAAGCGATCCTCCCACCTCAGCCTTCCAAGTAGCTGGGACTACCGTGCCCGGCTTGTAATGTTTTTTAAAAGATGGGTCCCACTATGTTGCCCAGGCAGGCTTGAGCATTTGAGCTCAAGCGATGTGCCCACCTTAGCCTCCTGAGTAGCTACAGGTGTGCACCACCACGCCGGGCTAGCGTGTGTGTGTGTGTGCGTGTGTGTATGTACGTATATGTGTTTTGTAGAGACAGGGTTTCACCATGTTGCCCAGGCTGTTCTTCAATCCCTGAGCTCAATCAATCAGCTCATCTTGGCCTCCCAAAGTGCTAGGATTACAAGCTTGAGCCACTCTGCCCAGCCATTGCTCTTTATGGCTCCAAATATGGGGCCCTTGCCTTGTGCCAAACATTATGCTGGGCATTTTACCCTCATACTTGTAGATAATCGTCATGGCAACTTGATTGGGGACAGTTACAGTATTTCCACTGAACAGAGGAGAAAACTGAAGCACAGAAAGGTCAGTGACTGGACCATGTCAATGACTGCACGATTAGTCAGTGACAGAGCTGGGGTTTCACGACGTGTTTAAGCACTGTCCCATCAGTGTGGCCCCTAGGCTTGGGCGGATAGCCACAGAGAGGAGACCAGGAAGGAACATTTGAGATTGTGGGAAGTTGAAGTGGTCTCTTTGCAGGCTGCCGGGGTTTAGACTGGGCAAGTTCCCAGGGCCCAGATAGAGCCGGACGTACCACGCGACGATCCCTGAGCCACCGGGGTTTCCGCGCCAGGGGAAGCCGGGCTTGCCAGGTGGGTACGGCTGGCGGGGCGGGGCTTCTCAGGGCCCGCTCCATGCCCAGGTAAGCGCTCGCGACCCGTGCGGGCAGAGAGAATGAGCCCCCGCCGTGCTCGCGAGGTGCAGGGTGCTCCTGGCTCCGGGGCTGTCGGGCCAGGTCCGCTCGGCGCGCTGGGACTGGCCGGACGGGCTGGGCTTTTGGCGGGGGTGGAAGAGGAGGTTGCCGCGCCCTGCCCGGCCCAGGTGTCGTCTCCGGGGGCGGGGTTTGGAGCCCTGCAGCGGGAGATTCCCCGGCGGGACTGGCTGGCGGGCGTCGAGAGACTAAAGGCGAGGAGAGGAGGCGAAGCCGGGCGGCGCGGAGAGGCGCAGGGTGCAGGCGAAGTCGCAAGGCCGCCAGCATGTTCTCCCGTAACCACCGGAGCCGGGTCACGGTGGCCAGGGGCTCCGCCCTGGAGATGGAGTTCAAACGCGGCCGGTTCCGACTCAGCCTCTTCAGCGACCCGCCCGAGGTGAGAGAACCGCGTCCCGGCCTTCCCCTTCCGCGGCTCCCGGGGGCAGCCCCGGCCGCCTCGGCCTCCTGCCTTCGTCCGCGCGCACGTTGAGGGACAGAGACGCCACGGTCTGGGTACAAACCTGACGGAGTTGTTGACTTAAAAAGTAAGGTGTGGACAGTCTGCATTTTGATCAGATCAGTGCTGCCCTAGACATTCCCCGGCCTGGCTGGGATGATTTGCCTGTGCCTGGAAAAACCCCGGGTTGGTCTCAGTTTGGAGGGCCCCAGTTCGACTCCCAAAATGTACCTGGACCCCAAAATGTCCTGGGCATTCCCAGGCAAAGGGCGGTGGGCAGCTAGGCGGGCCCCAAACGCTGGGACTCTTGGCCTGGCCTCCTGCTCGTTCCCCTGTCGCCAGCCCCATCCCGCAATCTGTCGCAGCCACCTGGGCCAGGCCAGTCAGCAATCCCGACTTCTAGGCCGGGTCCGCTCGCTTCTCCGAAGCCCTATTCCAAGGATCCTCTGTGCCCCTGCAGAGCTTTTAACTCTTTGGGGTTACTTCCCACACGCAAAATTTCCGCCTCCTTTCCTGGGGCCTAAGAGGAGTCCAGCCCCTCGGCTGAACGTCCCCCGCCCCGCCCTGTCCGCCTTCCACGGGTAGCCCCGTTGGAGCCCCACCTGTAACTCCCTAGAGGCTAGGGTAGGGGTGAAGGTGCGTGGCTGTGCTGGGACTGAGAGGGCGGGTAGCTACCCCAAAGACGCTTCTGTCCCCAAGGTCAGACTCTTACTTGCCCAAGGAGAGCCCAGTTCCAAGCCTTCCCTTCCGGGCCTGGAAAGGGTTAAGTGAGGTGGGCCTTCCTCCCGCCCCCTCGCCCACCCAGCTGAGATTCCAGGCCAGGCTTCTGCCCTTTCCCTCCAGCCTGCCCAGAACAAAGGCTCTTTCACACCCTTGTCCCGGTATCCCGGGCCTTCTCTGACTCAGAAGCTAATGGACCTGGGGGCGAGGGGGCCTACTTCGGATCCCCTTTCCCGCAAGCGACTGGGCTAGAGGAACGTGCTTGGGGCCACTGTGGGGGAGTAAGGGGCGAGGCCCGGGTCCAGGGGGAGGGGCCTGTGAACTGGGGCCGCCCTTCGGGATTAGCCCAGCCTTCGGGGCCAGGGCAGAGGAGCTGGGGCGGAGCCGCAGGGCCCCGCGTCTGCCAAGTGGAGTGTGACTCCGTGGGCCTGGCGTGGAGGCGGGGGCGCTAGGCTGCAGCTGGCTGGGAATCGGGGCTGGTTTCCTGTCTGGAAGGGAAGGGGCCTGCAGAAGGGAGCGGGGACAGCAGCAGACAGGCACACCCCTGCCTTTCTCCCTCCCGTCTCCTCCCTTCTCTGGAAAAGCGAGGTAATTGTGAGCCCAGGGTGGAGTGGGCTGGATGGGGGCCCTGAGTTGAAAGGGGTGGCCCTGGGGCCGGGCTGCGTTACCAACTCACCCGTTTGTTTCACTCCCTGGGCTCACTCTCCCCTGAGGTCCTCACCTCTGTGGCTCTTTTGCCTAACTTTCTCAAACTAAGCCCGAACCCCTCTCAGAAAGCTCCAACCTCATGTAAACCCCATGACTCTGTAGAACCTGCATGAGGCGTAGTTTCCCTGCCCCCTTCCAGTTGTGCCTGCCCCTCACTGCCCTCTCCGCACACAGATTCTCTGTCCACCAGGCCAGGGATGTGGGCGGGGGCTGGGGAGCGGCCAGAGTCGGAATGAAAGGGCCTTTTTCTTCCACAGCTGGGAAAACAGCTGCCACCAAAGCAAGACTGGACACTCTGTGCCCAGAGCCCCCTCTGCAGCTGGCCTTTCCTCCTGGGACCCCACTCATCCTTAATTTGCTTTCCTTTTCTCCCCTGCCTGGCTCCCAGCAGGGCCCCGGAGCAGCAGTAGGCAAGGAAAATTTGTCACAGCAGCCAGAGGGGTCTAACAGGAGTGTAGAGGGATACGGGTAGCCTCTGCCCTCTGCCCAAGAGCTGTCCACCTCTTTCAAGACTAAGGGAACAGTGAGAGGAGGAACTGTAGGACAGTGTGGTGCCTGTCTGTCTCCCCTCTGGAGGGGTCAAGGGAAAGGGCACCAGGGGGCACAGAGATGCAGGACAGATTGCACATCCTGGAGGACCTGAATATGCTCTACATTCGGCAGATGGCACTCAGCCTGGAGGTAATCCCCCGGCCCTTGGAGTACACACCTCCTTCACTTGCATCCCAGCCCCAATCTTGGCCCTGCCCATTCCTTCTAGAGCATGGTGGGGAGAGCCAGGCCTGCTTAAAGTGGGAGAGGGACAGGTAGTTCCCTATGCCTTGTGTTGGGTGCAGTGCGTGGACGCAGGCTCAATTCTGCCCATCAGAGTCTTGTGTTGGCAGCAGGGTTTTCAGGAAGCTCTGTGGGTGAGTGTGGATGCCTGTTCTGGGGACAAGGATTCCTTTTAGATATGGGGAAAAGAGAGGAGTTCAATGTGAGAGAGGTTTGCAGAAAGGATGTAGCCTTACAAGAGAAGAAAAAGACTGGGCTGTGAGTAAGGATTCTGCTGGCCCTTGAGACGGCAAGGTGCTGTTTATTCATGTATTTGTTTTTTTCAATTCTTTATAGAGGCAAAGTCTCACTATATTGCCCAGGCTGGTCCTAAACTCACAGGCTCAGGTGATCTCCCCACCTCGACCTCCCAGAATGTGGAGATTATAGGAGTGAGCCACTGTGCCTTGCCCTATTTATTCTTAAACACATTTATTGAACATGTACTATGTGCCAAGTTCTTTTCTAGACCATAGGATACCTCAGTGAACAAGACAAAAAAGTTCCATTTTAGTGGGAGAACAGAAATGTACATTCAAACACATAAATAATTACATAAGGAAATTATTATGAAAATGGGGATGTGATGAAAATCAGATGGGAGAAGCAACATTAGATGTGGAGGTCAGGGGAGGCCTCTGTGGGGAGATCTTTGAGCTGAGCCCAGGGGATTTGGAGATGTATGAAGAATGGAGGAAGGACAAAGCCCCTGAGATGAGGATGAGGGTAATATATTTGTGGGAAAGAGAGAGCCAGTGTGGCTGGAGTTTAGTAGTTGGGGTAGAGCTGATGGGTAGGGGCCAGATCATACAGGGCCTTGAAGGCCATGATAAGGTGCCTGGATTTCACCTTAAGTGTGATGTTGGGTCATGGAAGGGTTTTAAGCAAGTGAATGACTCGTGCCTGGTAGGAAGTTGAGGGTAGGGTTGGGGGAGGAGGGTTGGCAAGAGAGGTCGCAAAAGTCCACCAGGTGGGAGGCTGTTACAGTCATAGGGGAGTGAACCTGGTGGTGTGAATTAAAGTGCAAATGGTGGAGAAAGGGAGTGGATTTCAAATGGTAGTGGTAGGTCTGACAGGATTTGCTGATGGATTGGATGGGAGGGATAAGGCAAAGCAAGAGAACTCCAGGATGATTCCCAGGTATGTGGCTAAGCAGTGGGTGGTGTGGCTGTTTACTGACCTGGGGAAGATGGAGGAAGCTGTGGAAGTGACTGCCTGGGCCAGGCAGGGGCTGCTGCTACGAGAGGTCAGAGGCAGGACTGCAGAGCCTAGATCAGGAATGGCAGGGTATTGTATGTGCTGTCCTGCCCCAACTCCCTGGATCATAGTAGATGTTACTGGTCAGTTTTAGCACTCTTTAGCTATGAGCCCAGACCTGGCCTCAGAATCTTTCTCAGCACCATCTTGGCATAAACTGTGCAGGTTGTGTTCTTCACGCAGATGCCAGCCAGAGGTGGGAGTACTGGTCCAGTTTCAGCTGCATCAGGCGGGAGCACCTTTATCTAATTTGTTTGTCTGGAGAGGGTCACCTCTTTCTAATTTGTAGAAAGGTGTCCAGTGAACTCACTGGGACCCTACCTAATTATCTTCCATTAGTGCACGAGATAAAACTTATTTGCCATTCATAGTCCTCTGCACTGTCCACATTACTAGTTACATATGGTCATTTAAATCTTACTTTTAGTTAATTAAAACAAAACATTTAGTTTCTTAGTTGCTGTAGCCACATTTCAAGTGCTAGATGGCTACTGATCATTTCCAACAACGCAGTAAGTTTTATTGGACAGAGCTGGTCTAGGTATGTAAATGTTTAAATTCTGCATCCTTCCCTCCTCCAAAAAAATGTAATTTTTCTCTCTGGGAGGCCTGTCCAAGTGTTGGGGCAGAGGAGGGGCTTAGTTTCACTTTGGTCACTCTCCCTTAGCCATGGCTAAGGGTGCTGTGTTCTTTCTCAACCAAGTTCAGCAGGCCCTCAAAAGAGAGACCCATTGATGTTTCAGGGATTGGCAAAAGAGATAGTCATGAAAGAGTAAATCCAGTAAGACTTTCTGGAGGAAGTGACTTAAGCTGCCAAGTAAAGGGAGCTTATTTTAAAATATGTGCTAGGTCCACGTAGAGTTGAGACTTTCCCATGTAATTCTCAAACAATGCTATAAAGGAGGTGGAATGCCCCCCATTTTACAAACTCAGGCTCCAGGAGTTAAATTCTCATGGCTTGTCAAGTCCCTAAGCCAGGATTTGTACTTAGCCCTGGTGGAGATTCTGAAGGGGACAGAAGGTGGTGAGAAGCAGAGCAGGAAGCCAGAGACAGAAGAGACTGGGAGGGGTGGAAGGGCTATCAACAGGGGGCCTAATGTGTGTGGGGCCCATGACTCATTCTCTAGCCCCTTGGGATCTGACCCAGGTCCATCTGACACCCAGCTCTGGGCTCTTTCCCAGGAGAGCCTGGGGGAAATGCTGCCCACTTGGGGATAGGGTGTGGTTTGGGTGGGGAGGTGGCAACAAGGAACTATACCTGTAGTGGGGGAACGCTGGAAGCACAAAGGTCCAGATCCTGAGCCAGGATTCCCTAGGTCCTCTCCCTGAAAATGTGGGAGCCAGTTTCCTAGGGCGCTCCTGGCCTAGGGCCATGGGAGAGTGGATTTGGGGCTGGAGAGCAGTAGAGAAATAGAGGAGGTGTCTGGATTTGTGGTCCCGCTCATCCATGCTGGGCCCAGGGACCTCCCTAGGGCCTCACTCCCAATTTATACACTATGCGCCCCCCATACTCTCAGGCAAGGGGTCATACTGGAGGGCAAACACCACGCGGGAGGGGCCTCCTGGTGCTGGAGCACGTCGCGATGGCCCAGAGACTTTTCCAGGGCTGCGCTGGTGCCCTCCCGGAGATCCCGTCGCGCCGACCGAGTCTCAGTGGTTGCAGCGCCTTGAACCAAACCGGGCCAGGTTGCCCGGAGGGACCTCCCGCACCCCGGTACCCCTCAGTTGCTCTCGCGGCAATTGGGAGCTGATGTCACCGGCGCCGTGAGCGCTGCGGCTGGAGGCGGTGCGGCTACGCTGGCGCCCTGGCTCCTCTGATTTCCCGCGGCTCTCAGGCCCCCACCGGCTCTCCAGGCCAGTGCAGCTCTACAGACCTCCTGCGCTTCTGCGCGCCTCTCACAATGGACAGGGCTAGGGAAGGATCTGTGAGTGCTGGGACTGGGACGAGACTAGCCAAGATGGGGGTTGAGGACACCTCTGTGTTCCCCTCCTTCCGGGCTCTCACTCATTTGGGATGTTTATGGCTGAAGCTGGGTGCAGACTGGGGTGGGGGTTGGCAAGCAGCGTGGACCCCTGGTGTTGACAAAACTAGGCTGGGAGGACCTATGTAGTCTGAAAGGGCTTCCTGGTGGAAGGGCTTTGGGAAAGGATTGGCTTATTTCAGAAGGAAAACAGATGGATGGTGATGGGGGAAGGTGTTAAAGTCCGGCCTAGCACAGTGGCCCAGAAAATACGCAAGGAAGCATCTGTAAGCAGGCAGGGCAAGGCTTTTAGAAGGGAATTTAGGGTGTTCAGGTCTGAGAGACTTGAAGCCTGGAGCCCCTGGGGCCAGATGCAAGGACACAGGATGTGGAGGAGAGTGGTGTGAGGAAAAAGACAGGTTTGGGGTAAATTAGTTCCCCTTTCAAATGGGTGGCTCCACTTGTCTCTTGAACCAATTTGTATACTGTGATGGAGTTAGTCTTCCAACTCCTCTCTGAAGATTTCCTTTATCACCTCAGCCAGAAGCAAAGTCTGTTTCTTGTGAGCATGGTTGTGCCATGACATGGCACTTATGGAGCAGCCATTAAAGTCGTCATCTCTCACCTCCCAGCTGAATTTTAAATGTAGAGCCTTGGACAGCACAGGGATGCTCCAGTGTTGACTGAGTGAATGTTGCTGCCACCAAAGTATAGCATGATTAAAATAAACATTCCTGCCATTCATGTATGCCATGTGCTGGGCACTGTGCTAAGTGCTTTACGTTCCTGCCTCACAGAATTCTCACAACCCCAGGATGTAGGAACTGTTTTCATTCCTGCTTTACAGATGAGGAAACTGAGGCTTAGGAAGGTTGAGCAAATTGCCCATTGCTTTTTAAGCAGGACCTCCAGGACTCCTTTCTAAGTGAATGTTCCTGATAATCCTGGTGTCTCTCCCAGTGTCTCTCAGCTGGCCCTTATCCACAGCCCCTCACTCCTGAACCACCTACTTTCCCATCCCCATTCCTTGCCTCTGACCTCACTTCCCAAGCTCAGAGGGCCAGTAGGTGGTGGTTCTCGTAATCTGGGGTATATGGGGTTCTGTGCAGTTGCAGTGAGCTCCGTGGGTAGATGGTATGCTCCTTCTCCACTGATCCCTTGCCAACCAGATGTTGAGTCTAAGGGATAACCCTCATTTACCTTTCCTTCTGTCCATTCCCATGAGTTGCTGGTTTTCAACCTGGCTGTACCTCAGAATCACCTGGGGAGTTTTCCAAAAGTACATATGCCCCACTCCTAGAGACTTTTATTCTGCACATCTTACGTAGGGCCTGATAATTTTTTTTTAAACTACAAGGATCTATTTTTTTTTTTTTTTTGAGACGGAGTTTCGCTCTTGTTACACAGGCTGGAGTGCAATGGCGCGATCTCGGCTCACCGCAACCTCCGCCTCCTGGGTTCAGGCAATTCTCCTGCCTCAGCCTCCCGAGTAGCTGGGATTACAGGCACGTGCCACCATGCCCAGCTAATTTTTTGTATTTTTAGTAGAGACGGGGTTTCACCATGTTGACCAGGATGGTCTCGATCTCTCGACCTCGTGACCCACCCGCCTTGGCCTCCCAAAATACTGGGATTACAGGCTTGAGCCACCGCGCCCGGCCTAGATCTATTATTTTTTAAAGGAAATATAATATCCAGTAGTACAGAGGGTATGTATAAAGTATCATTAGGCTGGGAGTAGTGGCTCAAGCCTGTAATCCCAGCACTTTCAGAGGCCGAGGCGGGCAGATCACTTGAGGCCACGAGTTCGAGATTCGTCTGGCCAACATGGTGAAACTCCATTTATACCAAGAATACAAAAGTTAGGCCGGGCGTGGTGTCTCACGCCTATAATCCCAGCACTTTGGGAGGCCGAGGCAGGTGAATCACCTGAGTTCAGAAGTTCAAGGCCAGACTGGCCAACATGGTAAAACCCTGTTTTTACCAAAAATACAAGAAGTAGCCATGTGTGGTTGCTCACGCTTGTAGTCCCAGCTACTTGGAAGGCTGAGGCAGGATAATTACTTGAACCTGGGAGGCGGAAATTGCAGTGAGCTGAGATTGCACCACTGCACTCCAGCCTGGGCAACAGAGTGAGATTCAGTCTCAAAAAAAAAAGTATCATAAATGTTATCCATTCCTGGCTCCCAGGCCCACAACCACTAATATTTTATGCATAAACATGCATATCTATGTATATGTATACATATGCATACACACATATATATCATGCACAAATGGTAGTATGTGTAATACTACTTTATTTTCTCAAATCATTTATTTTGGAGATTGTTTCATATCTGCATACATATGCATACCTCATTCTTTAATGTCTGCAATAGTACAGGGTACAGGTGTGCTGTTATTTATTTAACCAACGTCCTACTGAAGGGGTTTTCATTTTGGTGTTTAAAACAATGCCACAATGAATATTTTGTATGTATGGCTTGACCTAGTTATATGTGAAACTATAAGTGTAAGACAAACTCCTAGGTATTGGATAGCTGGATCAAAGGATATATGAATTTGTAGTTTTCATAGATTTTTCCAAATTGTACTCAAAAGATGCTGAAGAAATTTATACTTCTAACCATCAAATGCATGAGGACATCTCCATGTTTCTTATTTGTCATATATTTTTTTAGAGGTGGGGTCTCACTATGTTGCCCAGGCTGGCTTTGAACTCCAAGGGATCCTCCTGCCTAAACTTCCCTCATACACCACTGCACCTGGCTACAAACCTTCTCTGGTTATTTGTGGGCAGCTGAGATTGAGACCCAATGCTTGCTCTTGAACTACCTAAAACATTAGTTTCTTGTCAGTTTTACTGGCCATAACCCACTTGGGGACTGGGGAGTGCTTTAGCCTATCCTCTGACTGACATTTCCTTCTCACCCTTCCCCCAACCCTGGCTAGGACACAGAGTTGCAGAGGAAGCTAGACCATGAGATCCGGATGAGAGAAGGGGCCTGTAAGCTGCTGGCAGCCTGCTCCCAGCGAGAGCAGGCTCTGGAGGCCACCAAGAGCCTGCTAGTGTGCAACAGCCGTATCCTCAGCTACATGGGTGAGCTGCAGCGGCGCAAGGAGGCGCAGGTGCTGGGAAAGACAGGCCGGAGGTGAGCAAGGGGGAGGCGAGGCCTCGATGGAAGCAGGAGGCCTTCTGGGTGGTGTTGGTGCCGCATGTGCCTGTGTGGTGTGTGGACCACCCTAAAGATGACTTCCCCACAAACTCTTGTCAGGGACCTGGGAGAGACCTTGGTGTTTTACCGCCACTGTGAGTTGCCCAGAGGTGTACTTGTGAGTAGCCAGGGCAGGACTTAGGAAAGCTGGTGTGTCTGGTGAAAGGTAGGCAATCTGAAGGGTAGCAAGTAATGCAAAAGCGCTAATTTGGTAAGCCCTATCTGTGATCCAGTGAGACTGGCTATCTGGCTTTTGGAAAACTAATTCCCTCAACGCTGGTTCACCAAATGGCCAATTTACCACATACAGACAATAGTTTGTTATATCTGGGGTTCACCATCCAGAGGCAGGGATTGGGAAAGGAAATAATAAGAAACCTCTTAAGGAAAGCCTACCCATCCATTCAAACAAATTAGATTGTACATTCTAAAAGGGCTCAGCTTCTGGATGTATAATGTAAGCTACACTGACATTAGACTGATGATCTGACAAGTCTAAAGTGACTTGATTGAAGTGGTGCCATGATAAAACCAAAATATTGGGGAAAATATTTGGCAAATTATTCTTTTTTTTTTTTTTTGAGACGGAGTTTCGCTCTTGTTACCCAGGCCGGAGTGCAATGGCGCGATCTCGGCTCACCGCAGCCTCCGCCTCCTGGGTTCAGGCAATTCTCCTGCCTCAGCCTCCTGAGTAGCTGGGATTACAGGCACGTGCCACCACTGCCCAGCTAATTTTTTGTATTTTTAGTAGAGACGGGGTTTCACCGTGTTGACCAGGATGGTCTCGATCTCTCGACCTCGTGATCCACCCGCCTCGGCCTCCCAAAGTGCTGGGATTACAGGCTTAAGCCACCGCGCCCGGCCTTGGCAAATTATTCTAAGAATATGCCAATTTTGGTAAAGTGGTCATTTGGAGAACTGGTTTTTAGGAAAGTGGCCTATTTACTCCACTGAGGCTGCTTGGAGAAATGGTCCCAGCCCCTCACAGGCATGGTGCCCATTCCAGCCATGAAGGCTGCCACAAGGGGAGGTCACCAGGAGCTCACCCATGAAGCTACCAGAAGGAGGCAGAAAACCCACACTCTACGACTGTCCCATGAAGCTAGAGGAAGGGCATGCTGGCAGGAGGATAGCCTCTCCTGAGAGGCAGCATGGACAGGCTCTGTCCTGCATAAGTCCTCAGCCCACACAGGTGACTTGAGGTACACCCTAAGTCCCTGGCAGCTAAACACATTGCCATTAGTGCCACATCATTTAGCTTAAGGCTCTACTAGTCAGTAATTACTTTAGTGGCATTATGAGTAAGTACAGATGAACTGGCTGTCGTTTCAGGAAAGGGACACATGTGGTGAGTACTGATGATGGGCCAGGAGGGAAGGAAGGTGTTGGGCTCTGCAGTGGGGTGGGGGTGGGGGCTGCAGACTTAGGGCACTAGTAGGGTGCAGCATATGAGGCCAGGAGGAAAAAGGAGAAATCAAAGTTGGGGAGTGGTAGGGAAGAAGAGTCTGTGGTGAATGGAACATAACTGTTCTCCATTGGTGATTTTCCTTTCAACAAACATTGGCCAAATTATTTTCTGACCCAGTACCCTCTTATATAAAAGAAGTAATTCGATGGTGGAAAATAAGCAGCCTTTCTGTTGTTTAAAAAAAAAAAAAAAAAAAAGGCCTGGAAACCCCTCCAAGCCAGGGGTTTAAAGGAGAGCCCTTGAAATGAAGTCTCTCTGTGGGCACCTGTCCCCTGAAGGCCACACCTGTCCTTGGCAGGGGTCTGGGGAGGTAGTCAGGGAGGGTGCTTGGAGAGAGGAGCCCTGAGCTTGTGCTTTATGTATGAGTTAATGTGGCTCAACTGTCCCTAGTGTCCTGAACACCTGGCAAATTGCTGGGTTCAATGGACAACTCTCCCTTACAGCCCCTTGGCCCTGCCAGCCTGGCTAGGGACCTCATGGCTGAGGCCCTGGGACCAGGGGGATCCTAGAGCAAGGGGGATCAGTGGCTAGAGGCCAAGGCCAGGCCAGGACATTGTGATTTATCCACAGGCCTTCTGACAGTGGCCCGCCCGCTGAGCGCTCCCCCTGCCACGGCCGGGTCTGCATCTCCGGTAAGAAGCACAGCTACCCCAGCTGCTGGCACCCATTGCCCAAGTACACAGCCTCCTGCCCCATCTCAACATCTATTCCTACCCCTCTGCCCCTTAGACCTCCGGATTCCACTCATGTGGAAGGACACAGAATATTTCAAGAACAAAGGTGGTGAGTTCCACACACCCTGGGACAAAAGTAGGAGGCTCTAGTGGGTTTTTTTTTTTCTTTTTTTTTGAATTTTGCCCTCTTTGTCCCCAGACTTGCACCGCTGGGCTGTGTTCCTGCTGCTGCAGCTGGGAGAACACATCCAGGACACAGAGATGATCCTGGTGGACAGGACACTCACAGACATCTCCTTTCAGAGCAATGTCCTCTTGTGAGTACCTCAAACTGTGGCTGCCTCCTTCCTCCACTCTGCTCCAGTTCTGAGTGAGAGAGTTCCAGGGGAGGAAGAGGAGTGGGTGGGGGGAGGGGAGAAGCACCTGGCCTTCACTTCGGAGCTGTCTTGCACTTGCCACACCCATATCCCCCACGTTTTGCATTCCTGTACTTTCCTGTGACCACCCTCCTTTACTCCTCCCACCAGCACTGAGGCGGGGCCAGACTTTGAACTGCGGTTAGAGCTGTATGGGGCCTGTGTGGAAGAAGAGGGGGCCCTGACTGGCGCCCCCAAGAGGCTTGCCACCAAACTCAGCAGCTCCCTGGGCCGCTCCTCAGGGAGGCGTGTCCGGGCATCGCTGGACAGTGCTGGGGGTTCAGGGAGCAGTCCCATCTTGCTCCCCACTCCAGCTGTGAGGTAAGGCCTTGCACACCCCCACTGCCCTCAGCTGCCTATATTCTGCCCACAGGTGATCTTTGAACGGTGCTGTGTGTGCAGAACCCATTTTGCATTGCTGCCAGGATGTGCAGGCAGACAGGAATGAGCAGTGGCCACGTAGCTGGGAAGCATTCCAGCCAGCGCTCCAGAGCTGGGCTGAAGCCAGTCCAGAAAACCAGTAGGAGGGCAGGGAGAGTTAGGCTCTGGGGTCTTAACTTTTTAGCGGCAGCAAATACATTTTATTTTTATTTTTAGAGATGGGGTCTCACTGTGTTGCCCAGGCTGGTCTTGAACTTCTGGGCTCAAGTGATCCTCCCACCTCAGCCTCCCAAAGTAGTAGGATTACAGGCATGAGCCACAGCACTCAGCCTAGCAAATACATATTATGTGGATAGAGCAGAGCTTCTTGGTTGGAGCAGAGTACTCTGAGACCTGTGGTGGTGCCTACCTGGACCTGGAGATACCTCATGGGACTGCTGAGACTCTGAGAAGCAGTTTGACAACCTTTCGGTAATGAACAGAGTACTGATTTTGGACACAGATATAGGTTCAGATTCCAGCTCCACCACTTACAACTATAAATTAAGGGCAAGTTTCTTAACCTCTCTAAGCCTCAAGTTGCCTCATCTAGTTGAAGAAAGCCACCAACCTCACAGGGCTGTCACAGGAATATAATGGGATGAAATATATAAAGCATAGGTCCTGACACTTAGCTGGAGCTCCATCAGTGCTCATTCCTAACTCTCTGGAGAGGCAAGTGAGTTTTCTGTGGGGCAGCCTGAACCGTGGGGCAGATCTGCTAAGCCCTTAGAGTTACTGCTGGCCAACATGCCCCTCCCTCGGCTGATGCTCTCTCCTATCTCCCTCAGTGGTCCTCGGTACCATCTCTTGGCTCACACCACACTCACCCTGGCAGCAGTGCAAGATGGATTCCGCACACATGACCTCACCCTTGCCAGTCATGGTAAGCAGTGTGTGCATGGGGGACACACACATGTGGTGGTGAGAAGAGAGGCTGTGGGACAGTCCCCTTCTCATTCCCCTGCCTCACCCTGCACTTCCTCCTCCCCTAGAGGAGAACCCTGCCTGGCTGCCCCTTTATGGTAGCGTGTGTTGCCGCCTGGCAGCTCAGCCTCTCTGCATGACTCAGCCCACTGCAAGTGGTACCCTCAGGGTGCAGGTGAGGGGGCCCTGAGGAGTGGAAGGGAGCAGGGAGAAGGCAGAGGAGAGCTGGATAACCAGGAATAGAAGAGCTAATGAAAAGTCAAGATTTGGGTGGAAGAAGTGGGGTATGGCCAGATGAGGGGAGGAATGGACAGCAGTGTGGACAAAAAAAATAGGTTCTCATTGGTGGGGGGAGCTAAGAGGGATACTGGGGGTGTGACTCCCTCAGAACATGTTGAGTCATTTGTGCAGCAAGCTGTGGAGATGCAGAACTGGGTACGAGTACATGGAGTTCTGAAAGGCACAAACCTCTTCTGTTACCGGCGACCTGAGGATGCTGACACTGGGGAAGAGCCACTGCTTACTATTGCCATCAACAAGGTGATGGGTCCCTTGGTGGTGAGGCCACCAAGGGCATGGGCCCAGGAGCCTCTCCTTCAGGCCCCAGGAGGGTGGGCACATACCTCAGAGATAGAAGCAGGCCTCCTGCTCCTGACAGCGCCACATCCAGCTTCGGGGCCCATCTTCTCCCCCACCACAGCATCACTGCGTGAGGATCGTCCCATTTACTTGCCATCTTCAGTCCCTGCCAAGTCTCAGAGAGGGTTCTCCCGCCTGCCAGTTCAGGGTTTTTCATCCTCTCCCCCTCAGATTCCAATTTGTATCGACTTTACCGCTTCCCGTTTCCCTCCAGGTCCAATTGCCCTCCTTTGCTCCCTATCCCTTTCGTTGGCTTTCCTGCCTATTTCCGGCAGTTCTGAGGGACCTCTGGCTGGAGCATACTTGCGTAGCTCTGTGTCTTCCCTGCCTTGCTCAGTTCCTTTTTCCATGTCTCAAGCTGCTCCTCCTCCCCTGACTCAGGACTGGCTGTCTCTTCCCCGACCCTTTTTTTGCCATTCCTTCCTAGTCTGGTCAGTAGCAGGCAACTGACAGGGCTCAGCAAAAGCCCCCAAGCTCATCCTTCTAAGGCAGGAGTGATCAAGGCTGCCTGATGTCACTGCCAACTTCTGTGACCAAAGTAGACCTCTTCTTTCTCCTGCAGGAAACTCGAGTCCGGGCAGGGGAGCTGGACCAGGCTCCAGGAAGGCCCTTCACCCTAAGTATCAGTAACCAATATGGGGATGACGAGGTGACACACACCCTTCAGACAGAAAGTCGGGAAGCCCTGCAGAGCTGGATGGAGGCTCTGTGGCAGCTTTTCTTTGACATGAGTAAGAGAGAAGGGGGCTGGGTTGAAGCTTTGGGAAGGACTGGAGTTTGTCATTTTTACCAAAGGCCTATGTTTCAAGATTGTGTGGAAGGGAATGTAGCAGGAGAAAGGGCGGCCTGGCCCTCTCTAGTCAGTGCTCTTCCTGCAGGCCAGTGGAAGCAGTGCTGTGATGAAATCATGAAAATTGAAACTCCTGCTCCCCGGAAACCACCCCAAGCACTGGCCAAGCAGGGGTCCTTGTACCATGAGATGGGTAAGTGAGAGGAATGTGCACTCCAAGAAGCTGTTGGGAAGTAGGGTTGGGGACTTCAAGAGAAACTAGATAATGGAAACAGAGAGAAACCACATTCTGGGCTATACCAGATCTCCGGGGACCCAAGTCTCACCCAGTCCTGTGTGTTCCTTTCTCCTTTCCAACTCTTCTTAGAACCACCTCCACCAAAGTTCAAAACAAAACCCCAATAAGCCAGGATCATTTCATGGATTTCTTTCCTAATTTCTTCTTTTCTGTTTCCCTTTCTGCATGTGGATTCCTGTCTCTTCCTCTGACCCTTCATTTGCCTGGCACCGCTTTGATTTTTCTCCTCTTTCTTGGTTTCTTCACCCACCTCTGCTTCCCACCCCTCCCCGCATTCCCATCTACCTTGTCCTGTATCCCACAGTCTTATCAGAGCCTGTAGCCCCAGGGGGCCCAGGTGAGGGGCTGCTCCTGCAGGATAATGCAATCTCGGCTGAGATCCGGGCTTTGCTTTCCTCCTATTACAGTGACAGGTGATAGGGCTGGGTAGACTTGGGGCCTGAGCTCTGACTAGCCCACCCCACCCCAACCCCTTCCTGGTGCCACAGCTATTGAGCCGCTGGATGACATCGCAGCGGTGACAGACATCCTGACCCAGCGGGAGGGCGCAAGGCTGGAGACGCCCCCACCCTGGCTGGCAATGTTTACAGACCAGCCTGCCCTGCCTCACCCCTGCTCGGCTGCCTCAGTGGCCCCAGCCCCAGCCTGGACCCAACCCCTACCCTGGGGGAGACCCCGAACCTTTTCCCTGGATGCTGTTCCCCCAGACCACTCCCCTAGGGCTCGCTCGGTTGCCCCCCTCCCACCTCAGCGATCCCCACGGACCAGAGACCTCTGCAGCAAAGGCCAACCTCGCACTTGGCTCCAGTCACCAGTGTGATAGAGAAAGGTGCTGGCATAGGATCCACCCGGAAGAGAAAATGACCCATGCGCAATTGGACTCTGGATACGGTGCTGTCTATAGCAAGTTGGCCAGCCTGGCCTCCTCTTCCTCTGCTGGACTTGGGGTAGGCTGCAGGGGCGGGCAGAAGCCCCTCCTAAATTGTGGTTCCCATGGTACCGAGGGACTCATTCCTGGGGCTGGCTGGGACCTCCCTAAACTCTTCCTGGAAGAAAACTGGAACGACCTCTGCCCTACCTCCCTGCACTAACCAGCTTTGAGGATGGCACTGAAGAGCCCTTGTGACTCCCACATCAACCATTAAAGTTATTTAACAGCAGCCTTCATCTGGCTCCTGAGGATAGGGTGCCTCTCTCTGCCTGGTCTAGACCTGCCTCACCTCACCCCTGGAGCGTAGTTCACCAACTGTGAAATATGACTGTGATACTGAGTAATCAGACAAGGGCTGGGTGGAGCGGGTACTTTATGAATACCAAAATGACAAAAGGAGGCTGCTCTTCTCACACACTGCAGAATCTCCGGATCTCTGCGAGGTCATAGCCAGTCACAGCAAAGGAGCTGCCTGAGGAATCACAGAATCGAGCACCACACACCTGGGTGTCGGAAACACACTCACCATGACAGTGTTCCACCTGGGGGAGCAGAGGGCTGGTCAGGGCCTGCTGCCCCATGCTTGGGCCCCCATTCCACCCATCCCCTGATACATACCTCAATGTAGCTGCTCTCTGGGCTTCTGCTCAGCTTCCAGATATGCACAAAGGAGTCCTCAGCTGCGGAGAGTAGCTGTGGAAGAGGAAGAGGGGGAGTCAGGATGCCCTGACAGGGGACAGGTATAATCTGGAATGCCCAGTCCAGGTGCCCCAGGGAGGGGGCTACACTGAGTTGCAAAGACAAGCCTGTGGTGTTCTCTCAACATTCCACTGCCAGGAAAAAGGGTATGTAGGGACAGAGCAGGAAACCGACCTTGCCCGCCTCAGGAGCCAGGTCCAGGGCAGAGATGGCCCGGGCATGGGCATTGATCTGGACATGTAGATTTCCTGTAGTGGCCTCATACAGATGCACTTGTCCATTCCCATAGCCTGCTGCTATGATCCCCTGCCACAGCTGCACAGAGGGGCACGGGACTCTGCAAGGGGTGATACCCAACTTTGTTTTGCCCCGACCAAATCCTACTCCCCATCCTGAAGCTACCTCAGGAAGTCCTCTACATCTCTGCTTCACCTACCCAAATCCTGGAATGCGGGTCAATAATGTGAATTCTGGCCCTGATCGCCAGACACAGAGCAAGCCTGAATCATCTGCCGTCACCATGTCAGCCACACAATCCTGAAGGGAAAGGCAAGATCAGTCCTTCCCTTTCTCCCCTGCTATGGTCCCGTATACAGGGCAGGAGGGGAAAAGAGGCAGCGTGTGCATCTTTCCCTCACCAGGGAAAGGGCAAGAAGTGGAGCCCTCACTAGCCAGACCCATCAGAAACTAACCCTATCAGAACCCTTCCTGAGGGTTCCCTCAGGAAGCATGAACTGCTTTCCTTGGATTTCTTCATGGAGTTCCATCCCCCAATAGCATGTTAGGAGGGGGTGCATAATTGCCTCACTGGATGGATGATAAAACTGATGCCACAGCGTCATGACCTTCTGGAGGTCTTGTGAACCAGTTACTGTCATGACTAGACCCTGGGCCTCTGCACCCCCAACACTAGGCAGCCAACAGCCCATGGGCCTAGCCCTATGCCAGGTGCAATGGAGAATATGCATAAAAAAATACATACCTTGTTCTCAAAAGGTTTGCAAACTAACTGGGAGATAACAGTTGTCTTTTGAGGGCAGTGCCAATTCAGGGTTCAGCTAAGAGAGATCAGTGGGAGCTAGAATATAGGGAAAGCTTCCTGGAGAGGAGAGATGGCACTAGAGCTGGCCCTGAATAGGTAGGACTTGCCCCAGAGATGGAGGCTGCACATTTCAGAACTGGAAAGTATCTCAGAAACCATTTGTTCCAGCTCCTCATTTCACATCAGTATTATAGTCTTAGTTAACTATAAAATAGTACATAATTGTAAAGTATCTCTGGCTTTATCACCGAACTTGCTTGCTAAAGACTAGGAAAGTGCAGATTTGCCCAAAGCCATCCACCTGTTTAGTGGCACAGCCAAGACTCAAATCCAGGTCCCCTGCCTCCAAGGGTGGGGAAGGCTCCCAGGTGGGTAGGGGAAGTCCACTCACCTGTCCCTGGGCAGACTCGGTGGCAATGTCTGTGATTGGTGTCTGATGCCCAGCCAGCTCCTCACTCAGTACAATGTTGGGACCCTTGGCTGGGATGTCAAACACGAGCACCCGGCCTGACCATGTTCCTGCAGCCAGAACCAGTGCCCCAGTGATGACTTCATGACCCTCCTGGGTCTTCAGCCACCATACTCAGCACTCCATCCCAGAAACCTTAGTAACAAACCCCCTCTCACTGCCTCGACAGCTCTGCCCCTTCATTCACTACCCTCATCCTATCACCCTGACCCTCTGAACCCTTCCATGGTTTACTGGAGTCTCTGATTCCACTGCACTTCTACCCTCCCCTTTAACTTTCCACAATTTCCTCAGACCCTCATAATCCTCCTGGCCACGGCCCACATGCCCCAGCACCCCTCCATGGCCTGCCCTTGGCTCCCTCACCGACACAAATGAAGTGGCCACTGGCAGCAATTCCCCGGGCAAACACAGCCTGTACTGAATATGAAAGGGCAGAATGATCAGAAATTTCCCCACGCAGCCCTAGCAAACACTCCCTGCCCCCACCCCACTTGGTTCTGCAGGTACCTGGGGTGGCATCTCCAGAGTCCAGTGCATGCCAGTAGACCATGGTGGAGCCATCGGACTCATACATCTGGAAGACGGGCAAGAACCAGGGGGAATAACCCAACTGACCTCTGCTGAGTTCTGTGCTGAGTACTTCACATATGCTAGCCTTAGCCCATGTAATCTTCAAAACAAATCTGGGATGTAGGTACTATTTGTTATCCTCATGTATTCAGAGGACGACAGTGAGGCTGAGAAAATACTGTAAGGACATATAACTAGTAAAGGGGCAGATACTGGAGGTGGCACTTGGGAAATGGAAAAGATGGAAGGATTGAAGATAAGAAATAGAAAAAGAGTGAGTGGGTCAAGCATGTGGAAAGTTTGGAAATGTTTAGAGGCAAGTAGGAAACAGTCTGGAAGCCTGGCAGGGGAGCTGAGAAGGCTCTGGTGGGGCAAGCAGGAGAGTCCTTACCTGTATTCCTCGATGTGAGGTGAGTACCAGCAATACTCGAAAGGGGAGGACACACCAGTGGACCTGGAGGGAGGTGCGTCAGTGTAGGGAGAAAATCAAAGCGGGGATGATGAGGAGTCAGATTTCTTTCTTTCTTTCTTTCTTTCTTTTTTTTTTTTTTTTTGAGACGGAGTCTTGCTCTGTCGCCCAGGCTGGAGTGCAGTGGCGTGATCTTGGCTAACTGCAGCCTCAGCCTCCCGGGTTCGTTATTCTCCTGCCTCAGCCTCCAAGGTAGCTGGGATTACAGGCACACACCATCATACTTGGCTAATTTTTTTGTAGTTTTAGTAAAGAAGAAGTGTCACCATGTTGGCCAGGCTGGTCTCGAACTCCTAACCTCAAGTGATCTGCCCACCTCCGCCTCCCAAAGTGCTGGAATTACAGGCGTGAGCCACCGCGCCCGGCATAAGAGTGGAGATTCTGAGGTTAGGACACGCCTGCTCCTGGAGGTTTGGAGAGAAAGGGCAGGGGGTAGGGCTGGGTTCAGCAACATCACTCCCAACTCCATGCCTCACCTGAGTGATAAGTGGGGGGCTCACTCCAGCACCCTCCTTAGCGTGGAGCTGGCGCTGGGCCAAAGGTACACCCTCAGGAGCAGCGCTGAGAAGCTGGGCGCTCGGTCCATGAACCACACCAAAATGCGTGAGGTTGCGAGCCGGCAGCTGCAGCACACTAAGGTTGTTGCATAGGGCGGCGGCCGAACCTCGAAGGGGAATGGAACGCTCCCAGCGAAACATCCTGCGGGAAGACGTAACCGAATCACCAGGCGCGCAACCAACAGATGCAGCGGAGATGCCGGGGGGCGGCTATCAGCGAGCATTTCGGAAGACGCCAGAGACTGGGTTCTAGGATGGGGTGCCCCAAGGACGGTGATGGGGGAGGGCGACAAGGCGTGGGGAGGGTCTCGGGGAGCAAGACAGGGGAGTCCCAGGGCTGTTTGGGGGCGACAGGGGAATCCCAAAGGAGGAACAGTGATGACACAGAACCACCCGATGGCCCCAAGCCCGCGAGCCAAATAAGTGTGATGAAGCCCCCAAGGCTTTCTCTCTCGGCTCAGATCCCTGAGGCCCCCGGCCTAGGTTAGAGGTCATACCCGCAGCCCCAGATCGGCTCGCCTGACTGCTAGTTCGTAGGGTCCCTCCAAATCCGCCGCCACCATAGAGACGACGCACGTACGCACTGCCCTTGGGCGGAGTGAGCGGCCGGAACTAGCAGCGGGCGGCGCGGTTGCCGGGGCAACTGTGGGCGGGGCGAGCAACCCGGAGCGCGTAGTTGCCGAGGCGACTGTTAGGCGGCCTCGGATGCAGACGAAACACCAGCGTTGCAGCGACCTCGTTGGCGATGGCGCACGAAGGCTCGGTGAGCTTCAGTTCCACTGGGGATGCGCCAGAGCCAGGGTTGGCCGTTAAGGTCGGTGTCGGGAACAGTGGGCTGGCTCTGGGCCTCCGGATGCCGCTACTTGCTCCCGCCCACCGCGCTGGAGTTCTAGATGACCAAGGAAGCCACGTCGGTACTCGGGCAGAAAACCTACACCTGCACGGTGCCCACTCACACTTCACGCTTTGTCACACTCAAGCAATGAGGGGAAGGGTCAGTGGGTGGTGTAGAGCCTGAGAACAGGAAGTGGATTTTGAAACAGCTAATGAATGTAATAAGCCTCTTACATTTAAATGGATAAACCAGGCCGGGCGCGGTGGCTCAAGCCTGTAATCCTAGCACTTTGGGAGGCAGAGGCGGGTGGATCACGAGGTCGAGAGATCGAGACCATCCTGGTCAACATGTTGAAACCCCGTCTCTACTAAAAATACAAAAAATTAGCTGGGCATGGTGGCACGTGCCTGTAATCCCAGCTACTCGGGAGGCTGAGGCAGGAGAATTGCCTGAACCCAGGAGGCGGAGATTGCGGTGAGCCGAGATCGCACCATTGCACTCCAGCCTGGGTAACGAGAGCGAAACTCCGTCTCAAAAAAATAAAATAAAATAAATAAATAAATAAATAAATAAATGGATAAACCAAAAACAGGCATTTTTAACAGAT